GTCATTGTAACACAGCAGGTAAACAGCCACTTGTAATACTGGCCTCCTATATGGGCGCTGGTTCATGTCCTGGCTGCTCCATTTCCAATCCAGCTCCCAGTTAATGGCCTGAGAAAAGCAGTAGAAGATGGACCAAGTGCTTGGGGCCCTGCCACCCACATGAAAGACAGAAAAAAGCTCCTGGCTTCAGCCTGGCCCAGCCCCAGCCATTACAGCCATCTGGGGAAGGAACTAATAGGTGGAAGAGCTCTCTGTATCTCACTCTTTCTCTTTAACTCTTTCAAATAAATACATCTTTAAAAAAAAATAACCAAAAAGGTTTAAGTTTCACAAAGTACTGTGTCCGATCAGAAATTGTCAGCCACACAGAGAAATGAATTAAAACAAATCTAGAAATAAAAAAGATAACAAAATTAATGACATTAAAATTACAGCCATATTATTTATGCCAAAGAAAAAAGGAAAATGTTTTTAAAAAGTACCCATATGTGGGACCAGTGCTGTGGCACAGTGGATAAAATCACCACCTGTAGTGCCAGCATACCATATGGGCGCTGGTTCGAGTCCTGGCTGCTCCACTTCCAGTCTAGCTCTGTGCTATGGCCTGAGAAAGCAACAGAAGATGGCCCAAGCGCTTGGGTCACTGCATCCACGTGGGAGAGCTGGGGAAAGGTCCAGGCTCTTGGCTTCAGATCAGCTCAGCTCTGGCCATTGAGGCCATCTGGAGAATAAACCAGCAAATGGAAGGCCTCTCTCTCTCTGCCTCTTTAACTCAGCCTTTCAAATAAATAAATAAATAAATCTTTTTAAAAAAAATACCCATATTTAACTCCCAGTGATGAAAACACACACTATTACTACTAGAGGGGATTAACAACACATTAGATACTGCAAGAAAAGTATTAGTAAACTTTAAGACACAGTATTAAAACCTGTCCACAATGATAAAAAAAAATAAAAAACCATAGTAAGTTAAACATGGCATCATTAAGCTACAAGACAACTTCAAGTAGTCTTAAATACAAGTAATTATACTTTTCAAAGGACCAGATGAAGAAAAACAAACTCTGAAAAAAGAGGCCTTAACTATAAACCCACAGACCCAAGAAGCTTAACAAAACCTGACCACAACAGAAGTGAAAAAACAAAACTAGAAGTCACATCAAAATCATACTGCTGAAAAGCAATGATAGAGAATTTAAAGGTAGCCACAGAAAAAGGACAAATATATTAACCAGAATGACAGTGGACTTCTTAGAAACAAACAAAAGAGTTAACATATGCCTCCATTTCAAGTCATTCCGATGGAAAAGGCAGTAGCTAACACAGAAACTTACACTCGCATAGCAATGAAGAACTTTGGAAATGCTAAGTAAATCAAAACATAAACATACATTAGCTAATGAAAAAGCAATGACAAAACTAGAGTATCACTATTTGGAAATTTCAAAGAATTAACAATGACAATGAACAGCAAGACAAAGGAAGGCATACAGACCTTAGTGCCTCAGGAAGAAAAAGCCCGAAATGGCCTGCTGTGGTTGGATTTTACCCCTAGGCTTCACCTGCTGAAATTTAATCCCCATTTTGAGGAATTAACAAAGTGGAAACTTAATCCAGCTAAGCAGTTTAGAAGTGAAGTCTCTGGGAAGAGACTAGGGTTAAATAAGGTCATCAGGGTAGCGCCCTAGGATTAAACACTGGTGGCTTTAGAAGAAGAGGGAGAGGGACTGGTACTGTGGTGTAGCACAGAAGGTAAGCAGTGCTGGCATACCATATGGGCTCTGATTCAAGTCCCGGCTGCTCCACTTCCAATCTAGCTCCCTGCTAATGGCCTGGGAAAGCAGTAAAAGATGGCCCAAGAACTTGGACCCCTGCACCCATGTGGGAGACCTCGAGGAGGCCCCTGGCTCCTGGTTTAGGATTGGCCCAGCTCCAGCCATTGCAACCATCTGGGGAGTGAACCAGTGAACAGATCCTCAATCTCCCACCCTCTCTCACTCTCCGCATAACTCTGCATTTCAAATAAATAAATAAATCTTTAAATAAAAAAGGGGACAGGGAGAAGTGGATACAGACACACATGAACTCCTGTTCCTTGCTGTGTGATGTTCTGTGCCACTCTTGGACTCTGGTCAGCAAACATCACCAGATGCAGGCCCTAGCTTGACCTTGGGCCAGAGCCAAAAATCAAAATAAACCTCTTTTCTTTATAAATTACCAGCCTCATATATTTCATTATAGTAACTGAAAATGGACTAATACTTAAAAAAGCTTATTGAAAATCAAATTAAAAACAGGTCAAACTGCCTGGTCTTCATTAGAGAAGCTGCAAGGCCAAAAAAAAAAAAAGGATGGAGAGGGAACTGACAAATTAAGACACACTAAGAAGGGTCAAAGAACTAAAAATGGAATACTTCTTACATATACCTGTATGTCTACCTCTATGGTTTAGGTATACATAATTTGGTGTTAAATGGTTGTGACTGGATGTGGCACATGGAAAAGTTGAAAAATTCTATTGCTTAACCTGGGTGGTGATTTTGTGGTTCCTGATATTTTAATAATTAATACATCAATGACATGGGGGTTTTCTGTCCATTTTATTTTAATAATGATCTTTAAAAACTCTTTCTTTTAAAAGCAAACAATGGTGAGTCATCCAGCTTATCTGTTTACCTCCAAGTGGCACAAAGAAGTCAATACCCATCTCCCTGGAACCAGAACAGCACAAGAGCAAACCACAGGTTTGAATTCAATGACCCAGGATCCCTAGAACTTTATCACAGGATCTAAAGCAACCAGCGCTAAATTATCCACATGAAGTAACTATCTTAGCATGAATAACTCAACCTACATAATTTGTACACATATTAGCTTAGGTATTAGGGCTATGAGAATAAAGTGAGTAACTTTCTATCAACCTGTTTAAACCAATAATTTATCCTCCATGAAGACAGTTGATAAAGACATGACTAAATGTTAAAAATGTTAAAGCTGTCTCCCCTACTCCAAACAAGGGACTTATAATACAACTGCTGGTACAGGCTGAAAATGGAGGAAAAAATACAATATACTAATTCCACATGAATTAAAAAAGTAAAAGTGGGGACAGTAATTGCCCTTCCTTTGAGAGATAACTACTCAATGCAAGACTGTTTCTCTTTTGGGCTCCCCTGACACAAAAAGATCAATTAGACAGAAAGGGGAAAACTCTCCATTACTACATCTACTTTACTGAACTAAACTTGGTTTAACTAATTCCTGCACTCGACGTTATCAGAAGTGGGAAAACAGAAGAGATTCACATGGTACCAACTTCTACTATGGCTGCAGAGGACAAAACGGAAGTATGTTCAACAGTTTAACCAGAAATCCTGAATTATACTGTTACCATGACATCCTCTTTGTTTCCTGTTTAGTCTCTTTTTACCTAGGCATGTTGCTTCTAATTTGTCTCACACTTCTGCACTCCCTTCCTCCCATCTTTTTTTTTTTTAAGATTTTTATTTATTTGAAAGAGTTACAGAAAGAGAGAGAGACAGGTCTTCCATCTGCTGGTTCACTCCCCAAATGGCCGTAGCTGAGCTGATCTAAAGCCAGCAGCCAAGAGCTTCTTCTGGGTTTTTATCAGGTGCAGGGGCCCAAAGACTTGGGCCATCTTCTATTGCTTTCCCATGTGTAGCAACAGAGAGCTGGATTGGAAGTAGAACAGCCGAGACTCGAACTGGCACCCATGTGGGATGCCAGCAATGCAGGCGGCAGCTTTACCCGTTAAGCCACAGCACCAGCCGCTATAGTTTTTTCCGCTATGTATCTTGCGTACGCCTAAGGCAATGCCAGGTAATGTTTTCCACATTAGCATGTGCTTACAACATTAAATTTAAGAAAATCAATAGGTAGAAGAAGAGAAAATTTCTTCTACACTATCCCAGAAGGCAAAACTCAGGACAATCTGGAAGTTTAAGGGAGCATATCAGGCCAACATGAACACAAAACTTATTTAGCACTGCTTGCAAGAAAAAATCATGCCACTTCACTACTTCTGAAATATTTAAAAAGAGCCTGGAGGCCCACTGGCAGGATACTGAAAAGATATCCTTAGTGGCTCATATATTTATTTCAATATGTCTATAGCACATGAATGGTAGGAAGAACCTTAAAGATCTGCTTCAAGCTCAAGATTTTGTTTCTGGGGCCAGTGTTGTGGCACAATGGGTTAAATCACTACCTGCAATGCCAGCATCCCACAAGAGCACAGGTTCATGGGGCCAGAATTGTGGCACAGTGGGTAAAGCCTCTGCTTGTGACGCGGGCATCCCATATGGGCACCGGTTCAAGTCCCAGCTGCTCTGCTTCCCTGGTAATGTGCCTAGGAAGGCAGTGGAAGATGACCTAGTCCTTAGACCCCTGTGCCCACATGAGAGACCCAGATGGGAGTTTCAGCCACTACAGCCATTTGAGAAATGAACCAGCAGATGTCTCCTCTCTGTAACTCTGCCTTTCAAATTAACAAATCTTAAAAACAAACAAAAAAAATCCACAAAAATAAACAAAAAAAGATTGAGTTTCTGAGTAAGGCTATATACTCAGACTAAAAAGCAAATAAAGAAAATGAGAAATGAACCTATCCCAAAACCTATACACAACAGTCATTTCCCAACCCAGTGGATTATCTATTATTTCATAATGTAAAAGAACAATCCCACTTTGAAACTCTACTATCAGAGAATTAAGTATCAGAACAAACTTCTGGGCACTAGGTTATTTCACATGTGTTGTTTTCATTTCATTTTATAACAGGAAACGATACTGAGCATAAGCAATGAATGAGTTTTAAATTTTCAAGCCATGTTCTTTTTCACTGAACCTCCTGTTTCTAAAATAAATTACCATGTATAAAACACAATCATTGCTTCTCTTGTGTATTGGCGTTAGAAAATTTAATTTCCTACCATATTTTAACTTCCATACCATAAACTCACACTTCCATGTCTTACCACTTATTTCAAGCTCTGCCCAATGTGATTTCTTTCCATTTGCTGCTTCCTCAGAGGACATAATCGTGTACATCCTCCGAGGGTCAGGGGGCTCGTATTTTTCTTTGGGCATGCCTGTTGAATTAAGAAAAGAAACCAATCAGCATTCTAAAGAATCAAATAAATAAAAAACAATACTTTTTTTTAAAGTAGACATATATTATGGCCTTTAAATATCATTTCCCACTAGAAATGAACAAGGGGGCTCCTTAGAGAAACAGGTGATTTCAAGTCCAGGACAAGCAGAAACAAACAAGCCTGGATACCAACAAGGGGGTGCCATTTTGCAGGACATGGGAGCCAATGTGAAGAAGCTTCCACCAGCCAAATGTGAGACAATCCGGACATCACAAGAATAATCGTAACTGAATCATTATAAATTACATGAAATAATAATTTTAACTTAACAACACACATCAGAATGTCAGTTTGAATTCTGGCTACTCTAATTCCAAACCAGCTTACTGTTAATGTGCCTGGGAAGGCAGTAGATGACGGATGACCCAAGTGCTTGGGTCCTTGCCATCCACATGGAAAATCAGGATGGAGTTTCTGGCTCCTGGCTTTAGCCTGGTCCAGCTCTGGCTGTTGCAGCCATTTAGGAAATGAACCAACAGATAGAAGATCTTTCTGTCTCAGTCTTTCTCTGCCAAATAAATCAACAAATTCTTAAAAAAACAATAAAACTATTAAAACAAATCAACAAAAAAATGCTGTAAGACCTAAACTCAGTGATGAATCTCATGACAAGCGCAACTGTACTGAATGTGCCTCCTGATGACATACTACAGGGAGCACACAACACTCCTTACGTCCCTTCTCCCTTACCAACAAATTTAAAAAACATGAATAAAGTTAATACTATAGAACTGTATACCTGCTTATGGTGACAAATTTTATTTTATGTGTTTCATCACAGTTAAAATTATATTAAAAAAAAAAAAAGCGGAGCCAGCATTTTGGCAAAATAGATTAAGCTGCTGTTTGCAGCAGAGAGCCTGATCAAGTTCCAGCTGCAGTGATTCTGATTCATCTTCCTCCTTATGTACCTGGGAAGGCAGTGGAGGATGGCCCAGACCAAGATGGAGTTCCTGGCTCCTGGCTTCAGCCTGGCACAGACCAGGCTATTGGGGCATTTGGGGAGAGACCAGCAGATGGAACTTCAGTCTCCCTTCCTCTCTCCCTCTGTTAACCTGCCTCTCAAATACATAAATCTTTTTTTTAAATCACAAAAATACAATCAGATGCAGAATATGGAAAGTTCAGAATGACAACAGACCCAATTTCTTCAACAAAAAAACGTTAAGAGGAAACTGACACAGAATAAGTGATTTAAGAGGCTCAGCAAAAAATGTAACATGTAGATCTTGTTTGGTTCCAATTTGAACAAATTAAGTATAAAATGGCATTTTTTGAGAATCAGAGAAATTTGAAGATCGCATACTATGGTTTGTCTTTCAAAAGTTCATTTGTTGGCCGGCGCCGCGGCTCACTAGGCTAATCCTCCGCCTAGCGGCGCCGGCACACCGGGTTCTAGTCCCGGTCGGGGCGCCGGATTCTGTCCCGGTTGCTCCTCTTTCAGACCAGCCCTCTGCTGTGGCCAGGGAGTGCAGTGGAGGATGGCCCAGGTGCTTGGGCCCTGCACCCCATGGGGAGACCAGGAAAAGCACCTGGCTCCTGGCTCCTGCCATCGGATCAGCGCGGTGCGCCGGCCGCAGCGTGCCGGCCGCGGCGGCCATTGGAGGGTGAACCAACGGCAAAGGAAGACCTTTCTCTCTGTCTCTCTCTCTCTCACTGTCCACTCTGCCTGTCAAAAAAATTAAAAAAAAAAAAAAAAGTTCATTTGTTGAGGGTCTGGTTCTCAGTGTGGTGGTGCTGAGGTAGTGGGACTTTAAGAGGTGGGGCCTAGTGGGAGGTTGTTAGGTTGTTAGCAGGATGCTGGCCTTGGAAGGGATTAACAAAATTCTTATGGGATCTCAGGCAAGAGTGAATTGTGAACCTGAGTTCACAAGAGTGAAAACAGTGAACCTGATCCAGAATTTGTCTTGCTTCCTGTCATGTCTTGTGATGTCACCATGATGCTATTCCACACCTGTGACTCAACCAAGGGACCCTTACCAGGGGTCACATCAATGGGGCTGCCAGATCTTGAAATTCTACCCTCCCAAACTGTGACCTAAACCCTTTCTTTATACATTACCAAAGCCTAATTATTTTGTTATAGCAATGGAAAACTGACCAATAATTGGACTAAATACAAGGGGGCTTGGTTTACTGGTTAACATACAAGTTAAGATGCTTGCATCCCATACCAGAGTACTTGAGTTCAATATCAAGCTCTGGCTCCTGACTCCACATCCTTGCTAAAGCAGTCCCTAGGAGGCAGCAGTGATGGCTCTAGTGATTGAGATCCTGCCACTCACCAAAGAGGGTTGGTCTAAGTCCCCAGCTCTGGCCTGGGCCCAAGCCCAGCCTCAGTAGTTCTGGACAATTAAGTCAGCCAATGGGAGCTTCTCTCTGAAGCTATGCTGCCTCCCCTAATAATCGAAAGCAGAACTAATCTGCAACACAGAAATGGGCTTTGACCATTTAGTCAAAACACAAGAGATAAGTAACTCTAACAAGCTACTTGAAATATGAATATATAAATGGTGAGATTATTTAACTGCATAAGAAACAGCACATCTAAAAACGGTTTTCTGACTTACATGTCAATTGCTTCAGTGTAAAAATACAATAACTAGTTTTCATACTGATACAAAATAGATGATACAGAAAGTTACACAGTAAAGAACTATCCATTCTGTAAGAGGGACAATCTTTCTCAATGACCATATCACTAACCACCTAGGAAACGGGAAATGTTGTGTACCCAACTTGATGATAATATCATCTAAGATTACCCAAATGCCAACATTCCGACCAGATTCTACTTACAGAGCAACCATATGATCTTTCTTAGCTTTCCCAAACAAAATGTTCAAACAGTAAGAAACTGCTCTGACCAGCTGAGATCAATATTTTAGTCCTATTAATCATTCAACTTTTCAGTGAAAGCTTGGAAGTCTGACTTACCAATTCTCATGTTAACTTAATATAAACCCATGTCCAGAAACTGATCACATTTCAAAGAAGTGTCACTGAACTCAGAAACCTTAACACCATGTCCTGGACATGTGGTCACTCTGTCAGTCATGATTTCTTTTAAGTTTTAATTTTATTTGAAAGGCAGAGTGATGGAGAGATCTTCCAGCTGCTGGTTCACTCCCCAGATGGTCAAAACAGCCAAATCTTGGCCAGGCCAGGCCAAAGCCAGGAGCCAGGAACTCCATCCAGGTCTCCCACACAGGTGGCAGGGGCCTGGGCATTTGAGCCATCCTCTGCTGCTTTCCCAGGTGCATTAGCAGGGATCTCGATCTGAAGCAAAGCACGAAAAGCCACTGTGCATCAACAACTGGCTGAACAACGCTTTTTAACCAGGCTGTATTTGCCACACTGTGGCAAATTCACTACTCCGCCATTGGTCACTTAGTAGCTGTCTCTGGGATCAGATGGACTGTTGAGATATCAAATTACTTGTATTCAAGTCATAGTTTACTTAGTAAGTGCCCTAATGTCCAAAAGTAATGATGTTGAAAATTCAGACATGCTGCAAAAAAGCCATAAAGTGCTTCTTTTGAGTGAAAAGATTCTCAACTCAATAAGAAATTCATGCTGTTATACTGTTAATCTATTACTATGACTAATTGACAAATTAACTTTATAACAGTTATATATGTATAGGAAAAAAACATGCATATATAGGACTCAGTACTATTCAGTTTCAGGTATCCACTGGGGGTCTTGCAAAATGTCTCATCAGATATAGGGAAACTCTGGTTTCTCAGATAAGCCATTTGCACAAAGCCACTTTCCTAACAACACATCTCTACCATTGAACTAATGCTAACTCCTACACTAAAGCCCCTGTTACCAATCACCCTTATTTCAAAACTGCTTATCTGGTATCCTTTTAGTCTTTAAAAGCTTCCCCTGTGCCCCAACACCCACCAATACACCTGTGGCCCCCAGCACAGCATGCATATCCTTGATTGCAATCTCAGCTATTTATTTCCAAATAAACTATTTGGTCTCTCTGAAATTAACTTGAGGCTATTAATAGGGACTTATGCTTTTTAATTTATTTCCAACAATTTTTTTAGGTGTACTAGAAGCAATGTTACCTCTGGAATAAAAGCCCTCCAAATCCTCAATTCTGATCTTTACCAGAGAAGTCCCCCATTACCTGCAAGGAGCATATTCCAAGGGCCCCCAGTGGATGCCTGAAACCCTACAACTTATTAAACCCTACAATTTAATGTCTTTTCAATCTTAATTAAGCACTTAATCACAATCTGTGGTCCTAACTTTTGCAGTTTGAGGTGTGGTAGGAAAACTGGCACAAATTCCTCAATTCACACAATTCCACAGATTACTTTCCATCATAGTAGTATCAGCACCCTATTTTTATTTCCTTATTGAGAAATTTCATCTTTCCACTTAAAAGAATCCCTTTACAGCATCTCCTTGGCATATCCAAATTGCCAGTATCATAGTCTTGTGATCTGGAGTCATTATTAAGTAAAATAATGGTCACTTAAACATAGCACTGCGATATTCTAACTTTCAATCTGATATCCCAGATGGCTATTAAGTGACTAATGGATAGGGAGCACATAGCAGGGATACAACAGATAAAGGCATGGTTCATTCACTTCCTGGGATCAGCACATTTTTCTACACTACTCAGAATGGCATGCAAATTAAAATACACAAATTATTTCTGAAATTTTCTACTTAATATTTTCAGACTACAGTTGACTATGGATAACTAAAAACTCTGGAAATCAAAACCACAGATAAAGAGGGACTGTACAAGAAGGCAAAGTTTTTGTAAAATGATCAATTACATGTCGTGGAGAGGAAATGTTTAAGAGGAGCATGGGACATCTTTCAGGGCCCAAAAATTAAGACTAATGAGGGCTGTCATGTCAACATGATACAGGAACCAGCTAGAAGGGTCCCCTTCACCAGCC